GTTCCACACATGCTGACAAACCAGTTGAAGACATTGCAGCGATAAAGAAACAAATTAAGGAGAGAATTTCTGGTATGGAATATGAGAGGCATGTGGTCAGGCCTCTATTCTGCATTGACAACACAAAATCACAGCGACGAAACTTGATTAGGAAATTTATCCGGAAGAGTCGAAAGCAGAGAAAAAAGCACGAAACAGGTGAGATATTAGCCTTTATGTTGTATCCTTTGTTATATGTTTTTATGAGTAATTGATGATGGCATGTATATATGCATTATTGACCTAAGTGTGAGGTCAAGATGCATGACTGGATATTGACAAAAAGTTACAAACTTTGCAAGTCTGCTCCACACACTTTTTTCGATGTGTGGGATCAAAGTGTGCGATCCTTAGTCCATCCTACTGGCTTGGGTAGCCATTGGGTGCTGCACACGTACTTGTCTGACATGCACCAGTCTTAAAAACAGTTAGTTTACAATTTGGTTGGCAAGCATTCATATTATCTGACTCACATTCAGTGGTTGTGTTGTGTTTCACTAAAATTTTAAAAGACTGGCAGAGTTAAGGCTTGTAGTGAAAGCAAGAAAGCAAGTTAGGTTTTTTTTTCTTTCATTAGTTGCACTCTTCTTAGTTTTCAGCTACTTTATATACTGGTGGCACCATACTGGGTCCTATAATTGTTTGCTGACAGATCCATTAATTTCAGAGTTTGGAGTAAGGAACAGAGGCTTAAAATATTGGGATTTGAAGATTTAATCATCTTAGCTATGTTGTCAGCTGTAAAATCTCTGCAATCGTACAATTAAAATACAAATTGTGGTCATTCTAAGCACATGTTTCTGTGTTGCTTAATGGTCTGAATTCCTTTTCTAAATATATCCTGCAGGGCGAGAAGGAAAAGTAGATGGTATAAATGAATTACAGAACACAATCCTGGAGGTGTTGTGGCAGGAGCCTTATATGGGTGAGAAAATACCAGTCAGGTAAATAAAAACACAATTTATTTGGAATAACTCCAGTTCAAGCACTTCAGGATCAATAATTTATTGAAAATGTACAGCAATGAAATTTCTTTGAATGTAACTGGCATATTCAGCATAACTGACTATGCATAAAATTTGTATATCAATGCAAAAATATCTCACCTCCAGTACTTTAGAGTTCATCAAAATTCTTAAAACATCAGATTGTGCAAATACACAGCAGTCATTTCAGTACAGGAAAAAAAACTCCAACTCTTGACAAGAAGACAATTTTATGATTATAAAAGATTAGAAGATGTAATTGATTATTTTCATGCATGTTCAGTTATGCTGAATAGGCCGATTATAATTATTTAAAGAAATTATAATTATTCAAATTATAATTATAATTATAATTATTCAAAAAAACCTCTGACTCTTGACGTTAGGCAGGGTTGTTTGACTTGTGGCAAAAAAAAAATAACCATGTTGATTATTCCTGAAAGTTGAAGGTTTAATAAGGCCAAATATCAATGTACACTAGAAGACTACAAATACATACACGACTGACTGAAATCAATACCTAATTTTATGCCATAATACATTCTAAGTAGTCTGTTGCCCTTTAGGTGGTTTTTGTTTGAAAAGGTGATTGAAGCTTTGGTGGCCAAACAGATTTATCACAGAAATCTGCAACAACTTGAGCACTATGCAAGAAAAGATTGTTTCATGGAAAATGCAAAAGAGTTTGACTCCATGATCAGTTTTTACCATGGCCTCC